CCCCCCAAAATAACCCCCAAAATCGCGTCCCCGTGCTGATGGCAGGAGGGCAGTAATTAAAACATCCAAATTAATTAATAAGCATGTAGCGAGGAGCTGGATTTCGCTGGCGGGCGGGAGCGGGAGCCGGCGAGGCCCGGGTGATCCCGGTGGCCGCCGCCCTGCTCCACCGGCCGGGACTCCACGGGCACGGCGCAACCCGGCCCCGGACGCCGAGGGGATCTACCTGCAAAGGCCCGCGTTGGTTTTATAGTCACCTTTCTTTCAAAACACTAAAAAATCCATTCTCGGGTGATACTTGGGTGATTTTGGTGCATGTAGAAAGAAAATCGCTTCGGAGGGAGAAGCCGGATTCTTGGAAAGCCCGCTTGGTTTTCTCTCTGCCTTTTAACTTTCCCTTTTCTATTTTTTTTTTTTTTTTAATTTTTGCTTTGTTTCCCTTTCCTCCCGGTCACCACCGGACTGAGGCTCCCGGGCACGCTCCGCAGCGCGGGGCTCATTTGCCCTCCCGACCCCCGACCCCTCTCCCACCAAGCCCGGCCCAGCGCCTGTCCCCGGCCTGCCCGGGCCAACCAGCCCGTCCCGGGAGCAGCCCGGCTCCACCGCCCCTTCCGCGCCCGGCAGCCGCCGGAGGAGCTGCTGCCCGGCCCCACCGCTTGCGACCCCCCCGCAGCGGCAGGAGGGGGCGAGGGGCGCCGCGGTCCCGGCGCCACCGCACAGCCCCGAGGTCAGGGGGCCGGGAGGAGCGGGACACCCGGGCTTTGGGTGGAGGAGGCGTCAGAGGAGAGCATGCGGAGGGGGAGGGGGGGAAGCGTAATCGCCTCCCCGTGTGCCAACCTTTAGTCCCCCAGTGTGGCCCCCGCTCTCCCGGGCTGCGCTGTGGGTTCCCCCGGGGGCTGCGTTGAGGGTCCCTTGGGGGAAGGTTACAGGGAGACAATGAGTGGTGTGGGGGGAGAATAGTAAGAGAGGGACCCCCATGTCGCTCCGACCAGACGCGCTCCGCAGCGAGGAAAAGGAGTTTTATTATTATTATTGTCATCATTATTATTATTATTGTTATTATTTTTTAAAAGTTCATTTCCTGGCGAATTTGGCAGTGACGGGTGACGTCAGAGCCCCGGCGTCGTAGTGACTGGGGCGGTCGGGCCGGGGGAGGCCGGCTCCAGCTCCCAACCCCCAGCGCTGCCCGCCGCGGGGGCGGCCCCGGGGGCAGCAGCGGCAGCAGCATCCTCGGGGCCGCCCCGCTGCCCCCGCCCGCAGCCCCCGGTGGGGCTCGGCTGCAGCCCCGCACGGCCCCGGCCGCGCCGTCGGGCTGGAGCCGCGGCCGCTGCCCCGCGAGCCGAGCGGCTGCTCCCCGCCGCCCCCGCCCCGATCCCGGGCAGGAACGGTGTCCTCGCCCCGCGCCCAGCTAGGAGGGCTGAAGGATTGCGATCAGCGTTTCCCTTTTTCCCCGAAAGCAGAGGCTGAGGAACGGGACAGGAGCGCCTGGGGAACGGGACAGGCAGCAGCGCCCGGCCGCGCTCCGGGGAGTTGTTTGTGCCTTTCCCATTATTATTATTTTCCGCCCCAAAGGCGGACCGGTTTATCCGCACCTTGGCGGGTGGCGAAGCCAGGCCGGCGCCCCGGCTGTTGCCGCTGAACTGCAGCACAAACTCCGCAGAAAGCGCCTGTTGATTCGGGATGCACCTCCGCTCCCCGCCCCAAAGTGCACGAGTAACTGCAAATATTGAAACTATGATGTTTGGGCTTTGTTATTAATTATTTTAAGACAAAAGTGTGAGACTGGGGGGGGGGGGGGGGAAGTATTAGCAACGTCGCAGCCCCACCGGGAAGGCTGTACTCCGTCCCAGGGTCCTTGTGCCCGGCCCGGCCCGGCTCGGCTCGGCTCCCCGGGCCCAGGGTTGCCAGCCAGCGCCAGCCTGGCTCCGGCCCGAGCACTACGGGCCGGGGAGCGGGCAGGGTCCGTCCCTGCCCTGCAGCCGTCTCGGCGTGGCCCCGCTGCCCGGGCCCTGCTCGTCCCGTCGGTCTCCGGGGTCGGCGCGGAGTCTCGCAATTATTTGTTTTTAATTATTTTTCCCCCGATCCAGACAGTTATTTCAAACTAATGTGACCGGGCTGAGGTTTGTCCCGCTCCCGGCTGCGCGCTGCTGTGCCTGATTTAAGGGATTTTAGCATATTTATCTCCCCGGTGCCGATTTCCAGCCCCGGGCATCCCGGCGGCGGCGCTGAAAGTCACGGCTCAGCGGCGGGGCAGCACCCGGCCGAGTCGGCTCCATCGCCGAGCCCTTCCCGCACTCCATCTTCGCTCGGCCCCCCCTCTCCCCACTCCGCATCCCGCACTCCCCGGCGGGACCCCCTCTGTTTTGCCGTCCCCGCCCCGCAGGGGCGTGCAGCGCCCGGGCGGGGAAAGCCCCCACGGCGCTGCCGGGCGAGATGCTGCGAGCAGGGGAAGAGGGGCGGAGGAGGGGGGTCTGCCGCGCTCCCCCCCCCCGGCCGGCTCCGTTTGGGGCCGGGGGTGCGGTTGGGGGCGGTGTGGGGCGGCGGGATTGGCTGGCCCGGCCGCCGGCCCTGCGCACCCCGGCCCGTCTGCGGCGCCGCGGCCAGCTGGCGCCAGCGCTCATATAGGATGCGCGGGGATGGGACCGAGTCGGCCAGAGCAGCGGCTTTGCCATCTGAGTAACACTCTCCATCCAACCTCCTCTGCTCTTCCCGCGCTCGTTCTGCCTTTCCCCCCTCCTCTCCCTCTTCGCTTTTTTCATTCCCCCTCCGTTCTCCCCCTCTCTGCCGCACTCGCATCCTCCACGCCGGCATTCATCGCCACCCAGCCTCCCGCGCCGGGTAAGTGTGGGGCGCGGGGGGGTCGCCGCGCCACTGCCAGGGCGCACTCGCTGCCTTCTCTAAACACCCTTCTCTCCACTCTTCTTCTCTCCCCTCTCCCTATTTCTCCCCCTCCTTTTCCTTTTGTGTCAGTTGGGAGTTCTTGCTCGAACTACTCTATATTAGTTCTGCCGTTCTTCCTTTTTTACCCCGCTTTTGAAGCCAGCTGGAAAAACTCCTATTGACGTTTCTAGCGGGGGGGGGGGGGGGGGGGGGGAGAACGAAACTATTTCCTTTTTTCCTTTTTTTCCTTTTTTTTTTTCCTCATTTTTTCCTTTTTGTTTTTAGTTAAGAGTTTGAAATGCATCTCTGTTTATTTTGTGGGGCAATGAGGAGGGAGAGAGGAGAGAGCAAGGCAAGGAGTTTTGGGGACAGGATATTTTTGGAAGGGAGGAGGGGCTCTGCTTCCCCCTCCCCTTCCATGTACCTCTGGGAAAAGAAGCCGGCCGGGAGCCGGCCCGGCGAGCAGCGCACCCACGGCTGCCGAGCTGCTAAAGCCTCCTGTCTCTCCCTACAGGTGCTGCCCTGGCGCTTCCCCGGACCTGCCTCCGCTACCCGCCTGTTGACAGAGGGACACGCTGACTTCTGGGGTCCTCTCCCACGCCTCAGAGGGCGCGCTCCGGTCACCCGGCGGTTTTCTTTCTAAGAAAAGCCACCCCAATATCTTAAAACCCACCAGGCAGCGTCAAAAGCGACCCCCCGAGCAGCACTCCCCGCCCCCACCGAGCGCCGCTCGCTCCCGGCCCGGGGGTGGGTGAAAGGGGAGGCCCGAGGCCATGGAGGTGGCCACGGATCAGCCTCGCTGGATGGCCCACCACGCCGTGCTCAACGGGCAGCACCCCGACAGCCACCACCCCGGGCTGCCTCACAACTACATGGAACCAGCGCAGCTCCTACCTCCGGATGAAGTCGACGTCTTCTTCAACCACCTGGACTCCCAGGGCAACCCTTACTACGCCAATTCCGCCCATGCCCGGGCCAGGGTCTCCTACAGCCAGGCACACGGTAAATCAGCACCCCGGCCCCTTCCCCGCCGTCTCGGCAGCACTCCGGCCCCTCCGGGTGTCCTGTCCTGCGCGGGGGTGAGAAGTTTCACCGAGTGAAACTTCGGTGTGTCGGAGCCGGGGAACAGGAGATCGAAAACAGGATAGACAGGCAGGCACGGGTGGATTTTAACCCTAGGGATAACCAAGGGCTAGCGGAGGGGAGGGAAAGAAAGGGAGGAGGTGAGAGAGGAAGGGGAAACAGTGTGCGCACGGGCTAAAACTTCTCAGACACGGCTACTTCCCGGATGCAAAATACAAACCGATTCAAACCGGCGATGGATTTTATTTGGGGGTGTTCTTAGGAGCCGAAGAGAGAGAGCATTACGGCAGCTCAGAAAGATAGAGCAGAAAGGGGTTTGCTCCATTTTCCTAGGAATGGGGTGTGAGGAAAAGGCTTGCCTGAGTGCCCCTCCTGCTCCCCTTGCTCCTTCTGGCCGGGCTGGCCGGTATGTCCCTCAGATAGGACAGGGGGAAGGGGATGCTGCACCAGCCTGGCTGCTCTTCCCTGGGTTTTGAAGTCTCTCCCGTGGCCGCCTGTCCCCCGGCTGCCTGCAGACCGAGGAGCTGCCCAACCACGGGGAGCTGGGGTTTTCCCCAGCCGCTCCGGGCTAAGCCGCCCCACGCTGACCCCAAACGCTCTTGTGTTTCTACAGCCCGCCTGACCGGGAGTCAAATGTGCCGGCCTCATCTTATCCACAGCCCCGGGATCCCTTGGCTGGACAGCAGCAAGGCGGCACTGTCTGCCCATCACCACAACCCCTGGACCGTCAGCCCCTTCACCAAGACACCCCTTCACCCCTCGGCGGCAGGAGCGCCTGGGGCCATCTCGGTGTACCCGGGCAGCAGCACCTCCAGCACCGCCTCCGTGTCTTCGCTCACCCCGGCCTCGCACTCCGGCTCCCACCTCTTCGGCTTCCCCCCGACCCCTCCCAAGGAAGTGTCCCCAGACCCCAACTCCACCAGCGCCGCCTCCCCTTCTTCCTCCGCCGGGGCTCGGCAGGAGGACAAAGACAGCATCAAGTACCAAGTGTCGCTGTCGGAGGGGATGAAGATGGAGAGCGCCAGCCCGCTCAGAAGCAGCCTCACCAGCATGGGGGCCCAGCCCTCTACCCACCACCCCATCCCCACCTACCCCTCCTACGTGCCGGCAGCCCACGACTACAGCAGCAGCCTCTTCCACCCGGGCAGCTTTCTGGGGGGCCCCGCGTCCAGCTTCACCCCCAAGCCGCGGAGCAAGGCCAGGTCCTGCTCGGGTAAGTGTCGCACCCCGTGGCCATCCCGCCGTGTCCCGCCTGGAAGGGCCGCGCTCCCGGGGCTTTGTGCGGGTGGCTGCGCCGGCTGTTGGGGTGAGCGTGCGGGCTGCTGCGAGGCTGGGTGCTTGTGTTGGCCCTCTTCGGGACAGAGGGACAGGTGACTGCTTGGTTCTGCTTTTCTGGGTTTTTAAAAGTAGGAGATGGAACTTGGACTGGGCTCCTGTGGGTGCCAAGGCACCCCGGCACTGGCCACAGGGCCCTCGAACGGGCCGCGGGGCACGGGACCAGGGCAGTCTGAGCCAGCAGACCGCGTTGTACAAAGAGGGATTTATACGGAGAAAGAAACCCGAACCCTTTTCATCGGAGAAAAGCAGGCCTCAGGCTCCCGAGGGGCTCAGGCTCGACCCTGCTCCCTCAAGTCAGGCAAAGGCCCATGGATGACACATGGGGGCTTTCCAGGGATAGGTATTTCTCCCTCCGTAATTTCCACGTCTCTCCATTAACACCACCCAAAGCCCCAGTGCAAGATGAAAGCGAAACTTCCCTGGCCTGTCTCTTTCAGATCGCAAAGGGCCTTTTTCCATTCGCGTTTTACAAGAGCAAAAGTTCAAATATAGTTTACATACCAGTGCAAAAGACTAAGGTGTCCAGTCACTGCTAACTTACTCCAGCCTAACTTTAACTAGAAAAGACTCCCCTCGCCTTTTTTTTTTTTTTTTTTTTTTTTTTTTTCCCTGAATCAGACATATCTCTGCTTCCAAACAACTGCCTGCAGACCTTTCCCATGTTCACCCTTCCTTGCGTTTCTTCTAAAAGTGGAGTCCTAAATCCGTAAATTAGGCGATGAACAGTTTTGGCCCCACTTTGAAATGACAGTAGTTATACAGCTAGACACAAATTATGACAATTTATGCGATTCTACTGACTTTCTTGGTTTAATATTCTCACCAATGGAAGGAAATAAACTGCAATATGCTGGGGCTTAATTTAGACAGTACTTTAAAAATAAATGGCCCTATAGGCATTTGCATATGTGTTCCATTGAACATATTTGCTTATGAATACACTACATGTTTTTATTTAAGTAGACAATAATTTAGAAATGTGATCTCTTATGAGTTTTGCAACAAAAATACCAGCTATTTTACAAGCTCATCAGTACTGTTTCAAATGATTCCTCGGAAGGGGAAAATACATTCTTTCTCTGCTGTTCTTTCCAGGCAGTTGCTACTATGTGTATGCATTTTTAGTGCATAGAAGAGAAGCTACAGGCAATGGGTAGCCCAAACCTCCTGAGTCTAGAATCTGGCTCAAGATCCAGGTCTCTAAAGAACAGAAAGGATCCTGAGTAGCTTTTTAAATTTTTTTTTGTCCCGTAGCTGCTGCTGATTTTTACATGGGGGAAAACAAGGACCTTTTTTCTTTTGTTTTACAGTTGCGCTTTTTTTTTTTCCCTCTGTAAGGGAGCTCCCAGTGTAAGGAACTGGGGAAAGTTCGTGACCACTCAGTGTTTTTGTAGGAAAACTAAGACTCACGACAGGACGACTCCTGCAGCTTCCTGCCCTAGGAGGGACAAGAGCTACAAATGCAGTGCCGCAGAGCTCCCCTCATTTCTCTCTCCAGACTGTGTTGTTTAAAAGCTTCCCACTCCCTAGATTAAGGCAGGCACAAACCCCGCTGAACTCAACATGGCCTGCTTCAGTTATTAGCAAAAAGAATTTCCTTTCCAGTTAAATACTGTAGGATTTGCATAAACGGTATTAAGAGAGATTTCTATATTAAGCAGACCTGCCCTCAAACCATCCAAGGCAAATGAACTTTTAGCAGGAAGCTTTCTGATGCAAAAACAGATATCTTGGAGTTACATGTTGTGTTTTATTTAATGCAGCCTTTCTGCAACGCTATGTTTACCACATTGTACTAAAACTAATAATGAAGGTAAACTGCTCCCTACCAAATCCAAACTGGATTGTTGAAAAATCAAAGAAACAGAAAAGCACTCAAGCTGTTTTTTACAGTAATGTCCAGTGAAACTGAACTTTCTCAAAGAACAGCATTAACAGCATTTTTATGCCTTTAGAACAAAAATCATGACTGAGACTCTGGTATTTTGTATCCATTCCCAGTTTTATATCCATTCCCAGTCTGCTCGGCTCTACTTTCTCAACCTGTAGCATTTGCAACAAAAAAGAAAGCGCAGAATTGGAGGTCTTTTTGCTTAGATTTATTTCTAGAAAACCTCTTCATCTGACTCTCTCTCTAATGCATTGTGTGTTTGCAGGTGTGAGTGTTTGTGTGCACGTGCACGGGTGTTTCTGGGCAGGGGAACACAGGATTTCACCACCGGAGTGCAACAGATCCGGGCGGGGAGCGGTGCCCAGTGAAGACTGAGGGAGTTCTTGCTGAAACGATAACTTCCATCTGACACAATAAGAGTGTCACTCTTTCTCACTTCGCAGAGAGTGCTGCCTATTCCTGATCATGACATAAAATACTCACTGGAGCTGGGAGCTCTTGAAACACTGAGCTCCTTGCTGCCTGTACTGTAGATGTCACTGCTGCCTGGTTGTGCTTAATTAACAGAATTAACACACTGTTTTGACTTCTGAAAAATGCCTAAAGGGCAATGCAAAAAGATTTTGTGAATTTGTTTTTAAAGAAAGGAATCTGTTTTCTTCGTGTTTCCATTCAGAAGGCAGAGAGTGTGTGAACTGTGGAGCCACCGCCACCCCTCTCTGGAGAAGAGACGGCACCGGGCATTACCTGTGCAACGCCTGCGGGCTCTACCACAAAATGAACGGCCAAAACCGACCTCTCATTAAACCCAAGCGAAGGCTGGTAGGTGTCTTTATTTCTCCTGGGTTTGGGGATAAATCAGGCAGCGGGACCACACACAGGCACGAGTCAGTCGTGCCTCATCTCTGCTCAGCCCCTGCGTGGAGCCGAGCTGCACTGTACGGGGGTCAGTCACGGCGAGGTCACTGCCGTGCCTCGGGGCACATCTCCCCCTCCGCCCCCATCCCGGCGGGACCACCGAGCCCGCCCTGTCCCAGGCATCCCTGCCGCTCACAATGCATGCGGGATATCGTGTGTCCTTCTCCCCGTTTGTCCTCAGATGACAGCTTTTAATTTAATTCCTCATTTACTTGGCCTCTTGGGACGGTTTGGGCACACACTGGGAGCGAAAGGGTTATGAGCATGAATGTCCTCCACCGTGTACTAAAAAAAAGTTCCAGCTCCAGAAAAGCAAAACAAATCAGATGAGTCAAAGCTACTGCTCCCTACTTAAAAATTATTTGTATAAAAGCCATGAAGTAATTTTCACTCTTATATTCTCTGGCAATATTAATATTGGTTCCCTCCCCAGACAATCCCCTACTGTTAAAAAAATCCTATTATTTTTCCATGGAGTCACCTATACTTTGTATTTTCATTTGACTGATTAAAAAAAAAAAAAAAAAAGTCCTTTCTAAGCTCCTGGTAGTAGTTTCCTATCCGGATATCTGTACGTTAAAGATAATGAAACTTTGTGTATCTGTTTCCTGACTCTAAAAGCTTTAGAGAGTTTCTATAGGCAAGCCTTGCCAGTCATGCTTGCTGTTTTGAAATTTCTAATACACTCTACTCCGCAAATAATGCGTAAAATGCTAAGAATAATAAATATATTTTTTGGAGCTTTGTGATTTATGGTGCCTAAGTCTCGTAGCTATTCGTGGGCAAATATCAATGAGGTTTAGAGAGCAGAAAATTGGCATTACTGTTCTAACACTGAGATGGGATATAGAAGATTTCTGCCCTGAGTCAGAATTTCAGCTATGTAAGCTTCTTAATGACTTGCCTTCTAAAGTGACTGACATATAGAAAAATGTTAAGACAACAGTGTAACATTATCGTCTCTCAAGCTCAAGTGCTTTCCAGACTGAATGGGACAGGCCATAGAGTTAAGCAGCAGAGTTTTGAGTATCAGTAAGCCATCTCAAATATGCAAACATAGATCTCCACCTTCTAGTGTGTTGGGAGACTGTTATACTTAGCTCACTGTGCAGGGTTTGGGGGGCACTAGAGAGGTTTTCTTTTAGTGTGTAGCTGTTTAAATGTTTAGCTTTAATTGATTTACAACTTTGTTTATTGCCCCTTTTTCCACTGTAGTTTGCTTGTTTGCGGGGGAGAGGAGGTGGCCATCTTTGGGAGTTTGTTCATCTGCCATGCAATAACAAAGTGATTGTATTAATAATGTCAGCATTTGGACGTCTGGCATTAATTGTGTTTGGGTTGCATGAGTGCATTTGCAGTAGGGGGTACCCCCTCTTTCTGCCTTTGGCCTGTTCTCACAGGCGAATAAGGCACCAAAATATATGAGTCTCCGAGGGCCTGATTCTTGCCTAAAGCTGCTGAACTGTCCATCAGCTTTGGGACAGTTACAGGGGGCCATGGCATAAATCAGGAGCAAGTGAGAACAGAGCCCTGTGCCCCTCTTTGGTGAGCGGGCCGAGCTGTGCTTCCCGCGGTGCCCGCTCCCCACCGGGCTGGCAGGCAGGGAAGCACCGAGTTCTCTGGGAATCCACTGCCCTGGGACTGGCTCTGCTCACGGAGATGCCCTGTGCATTGCTGTGAGCTTTGCTGGGCTTCACCCCATGGCTCTCCATGGCTAATTGCAGAAATATCCAGGGAGCAAGGCCCCCGGGGAACGACCGCGATTGATACGCTTTGGGAAGAAAACTCCAATTTAAGGAAATACCGAGTCCTCCTTATTAATTCAGTAGCACAAAATGGACTTGATGTTTTGACCACTTGTAGAGGCAGGGCTGAAGGTTTCTAATACAAAATAATTCCCCAAAATACGGGGTGCAGTAGTCTGTCCGTAACACTTTATACGTCACTGTCCATGCACAAAGGACGCTTTATGGTGGGGTCTGCTAGACAAGGGCCCGTCCAGGAATCAGGCGCCTGCAGCTCTACTTTTCCTGTTCTTGTTTTGGGAGGTGGGTGAATGTTTGGGCTTTTTTCTTTCTCCTCACCTTGGTTTCAGCAGAACAATAGTTTTATGAAAGGGTGGTGGATTTTTTGGCGGTTTTGTTTAATTTTAAGACAGTTGTTTGAGGGCTTGTCAGCCAAGGAACTAAGTAGGGACAGAGGCGGCAGACGGGGGTCAGCGGAATCATTGCTGCAAGGCATGAAATTTGGTTTGCTAAATATTTAAAGAAAGTTGGAGCCGGTTTTGTTTTCTCCCTTTCACTTGTAAATGCAAACTGAATTGTCAGTGATGGCTCTGATAAATACTGCACCCAGCTAAGCAATGCGGTTCATTTTCTTTTGTGTCCACCTTTTAAGGGCCAGAGTAGGGGTAAAAATCACATTCTTAAAGATGTTTTTAAAATCCAGTCCCATCCTTATCACAGACTATATTCATCATCAAAGAAAAAGGCAAACGCATTTTAATGATGCATTTTTAGAATCGTGAAAAGGGAAAATTTGAAAAAGTCAAGGTTACTTTTCCCCCCTCTAAAATTTTTGTTTGTGGAAGCAAAGATTCATTGTTTCTCTCCTTACTTCCGTTGCACACAGAGTGCCATGGGGCTTGAAAGTTTGCATAGGAGAATATTTGAATTTAAAGAAAAACATAACGTCCATAAAACTTAAAACTGACAGCAGCTTTCCTCCAGCCCTGATGCTCTTCAGTAACAAGTTCTCCCCAAACTAAATACTGAGTCCAATTTGACCTTTCTCATGATCTCCCTCCACCTGGTGATACATTTTAATTTTCTTTTTCTTTTGGTTAGTCAGCGGCCAGGAGAGCAGGGACTTGTTGTGCCAACTGTCAGACAACCACCACGACCTTATGGCGACGTAATGCAAACGGGGACCCAGTTTGTAATGCCTGTGGACTCTACTATAAATTGCACAATGTGAGTATTTACTCATCTCATGTGTCGCTGCTTGCCTAGTGTGGATTGATGTCTTAACTGCATGGTGTACACTAGGCTTTTATTGGTTTCAGGGGTTTGGTTGTTGTTTTATTCCTTCCCCGTCTCTAAGGTTCCCCTGGGAAGTGACAGCCGTTCTTTGTCAGCATAGTGATGCTAAGTTCAGTGGCATTACAATGTATTAGCTTGGCTTCTAGCTTGGGCAAACCAGGCAAAACAGAGCTGCCACACTTGGTTTTAACTAAGTGGGTTTTGTGTGCTCTTTCCATCCAGAAAAAGAGGCCATTTGGAATGGGCTCTGTGCAGAAATTAATCCTGATGGGCTATCTTCATTTTGACTTCTAAAAAAATAATTGTATCTAAGGCTTTGTTGTATTATTTAATTTTTTTTTTTAAAGAAATTAATCCTAAGCAGGAACACTTGGTACGTTGGATCATTATTTACACTGTAGGTAACAGAGGTTACTGGTACAAGATTGCTCATGTCTCAGGACTGAATTTGGGTCAGCGTGTGCCTCCTAGTTTGATCTTCTATTAGGAAATTAATGAGAACTGAGGGTAAGCCTACGGGAAAGAGAGTCATCAGCTGCCAAATTCAGTTCAATTTGTTTTTCATGTCTAGGGGTTTTTTGTGTGTGTGGTTTTATTAAACAAATCAATATAAACAAGTTCTGCAGAGAGAAACACCATTTTTTTTGGCCAGAAAAAGGTCTCCATCCAGGAAAAACACATGGGGGCTGTCCAAATATTTTCATTTTTGCACAATAAAGTCATTTTGTCTGCATGAGCCTGATTTTCTCATTTCTTGCAGGTGAACAGGCCTCTGACCATGAAAAAGGAAGGAATTCAGACCAGGAATAGGAAAATGTCCAACAAATCAAAGAAAAGCAAGAAAGGCTCTGAGTGTTTTGAGGAACTGTCCAAGTGCATGCAGGAGAAGTCGTCTCCCTTCAGCGCTGCTGCCCTTGCCAGTCACATGGCACCCATGGGGCATTTGCCCCCTTTCAGCCACTCTGGACACATCCTACCAACGCCTACCCCCATCCACCCATCTTCCAGCATCTCATTTGGACACCCACACCCATCCAGCATGGTTACAGCCATGGGATAAAACCTGATGACCAAGAGACCCATCCAGATATTAAGAACATGGGACTTTGCCTAAGGTGACACCAAGTAAGACAATGTTCTGCCAAGAGGAGAATGTAGGGATGGCAAAAGGAGACCTTTGCTCCCATGTGGTTAACTTTTAATGCTGGACTAAAACCTTGCAAATGATGGGTCTTCTGCAGAAATGTGTAGTGGTGCCTGTAATGCACTTTGCCCCCTCAGGTATAAGAAAAAAGAACTCACCTGTTCGATACTTAATGGTCCAGCAGGAAGCAAAAGATGGCAGAAGCTGAAAGAGAAGGCTCGGAACTGGTTTTCCTTTCTCTCTTTGTTATTACTGTGAATATTGTAAAGAGATATAAGCAGCCTCCCAGGATGGAATTGGCTCACTGGAAGCCAGACATGCTGGATTTCTATTGCGGACTTTGTTTGGGATAGGGGAAAAAAAAAGAAGAAAAAAAGCCAAAAAAAGAAAAGTAGAAAAAAAAAAAACAAGAGAAAGAAAAGGGCATCTTTATTAAACCTTAAGTTTTAAAATCACACACAAAGTCATATTTATTTTGTTTTCCACAAAAAGCCTCAACCCCTCTGATTGCATGTTTTTGTGCTGTCATTTGCAATGGCTACCCTGTAAGAAAAGCTGCCTTCAAAACAAGGAGAGGGGAAATGTACTCAACAGCCCTCTTGGATTAGCTCCATCTATCTTCCATACCAAAGTTACTAGGAAGGGGGAAAAGATTGCGAGGGCGAGGAACAAAGCAAAAATGTAGCTGTAATACGGGATTTTAATATACCCAGGATGGTGATTATTTTGACACAATTCCTTCATTCTTCCAAACATGAAAGATTTATTTAAAAAAAGGGCCCCTCTCCCAACTACCCTATTGTTCCTCAAACCAGACAACCTAGGTCAGAAAAACTGTTGGGAAAAAAACTCTGGGGAAGGCAATCCTGCACTAGCAAGGGGTGGATAGCTGCAACACAATTTTGGTAAATGCCTGTAGAAGTTCTAACACAGCCAAAACTATAATGGGGCATAAAACCCATCCTGCTCGCAGACTTTGGAGGTTGAAGCATTTTGTTCTGTTGTGTTGGCAGCTGTCGCTTAAAAATGCAGATTAGCTGCTTGGGTAAACTTTGGGCAGTGTGGGCACCACATGCACATGCAGCCAGCGCCTGCTGTCTCAGGCACCCAGCCCCGGTGGAGCCCACCGGGAGGAAGGGCAGAAATGAGGCTGAGATCACTGGAGAGGGGAAAAAGAGAGACAATCAGTTTGAGCTTCACACATCCATCAAATCCCAGACACAGAGACAGCTGAGGGAAAGCATCGTTCTAAGGGGAACGTCTGTTTTCCGTAGTGGATTTTATATGAAAACCTGAAAAGAACAAAAAAAAAAAAAAAAAAAAAATTAAATCTCCCATTATGAAACCATATTGTACGTAAATGACCGAATACAAAGCTATTGCCAATGTGAAGTGTATTCTATTGATTGTTATGATCTGATGCCTCTCGTGAACACAAGCTCCAGTATAACATAAGGTGTACATATTTAGGTATACTTCTGATGAAAATGCCCCAATGAACAGAGGGGTTTGATAATGTAAACCACGTAAGCTTAACTCTGTGAAAAGCTTTTTATTTTATTTTTTTAAATTTTAACTATTTTGTTGTTGGGTTTTTCTTTTTCTTTTTCCTTTTTTTTTTTTTTTTTTTTTTTTTTTTTGGTTTTTTTTTTTTTTTTTTTTTTTTCTTTTTTTTTTTTTTTTTTTTTTTTGGATCAAGCCAAATTGTATCTTTACTGCAAAAGTCCTGCTTTAAAGAAAAAAAACAGAATGAAACAAAAAAAGGATGTATGTAAATTTTTTTAAGCCTGTAATTTTTAAGCCTACTAAAATGTAGTATTTTATAATTAAGAACCAAGCAGCCATGAAAATCCTGCTTTCTTCTTTTTTTTGGTCTGCGTAGGCATATAGGTGCACTTTGTAAAGAAGTGGAAATAAATGGGAAACTAAATTGGTTGGGAGAAATCATAAGAATTTTTAATCTACTGAGGTAAAAAATTAGGTCCTTTTTACTTTTTACCTTTTACAATGGTACAGTTGTACATTATTTGTACCCAACTCAAATTTCTGTAGGATTTGGGCAGAGGGGAAAGGGTGTGGGTGAAAGACAGGGATTACTGATACAGTTGACAAAGTGCAATATATTGTCAGTCACTGCAGCATAGACAACAGCAGTTGAGATTTAAATTATTTTGTACTTGTATCAGCATAAAAAAATTCTTCAGTATTTTCTGTTTTTATTTTAATTTTTATTTTGCTTATTTTTGGATTAGTGAACTAAATTATTGTTAATTATGTACAACATGTTTATATATTGTCTGTAAAAAGTGTATGCTTTCCTCATATTCCTTCAAGGTGAATATTGCTAAGAATAATAAATACCTTTTTTGTGAAACTACTTGTGCCCTGCTTCATGTCATAAAAACTGCTTTTAGTTGGGAGAGAGGAAAAATTATCACCGTTGTTGCCAGCCGAAGTATTAGCTTATACTTTATGCAGAGCAGGCTATGATATTTTGAAACCCTAACAGGGTAGGACAAAATAAGGTAGTTAAAGAATGATTTAGTATTGGAAGCATAGGTACAAAAGCTCATTCTCCAGTGTTGTTTTGGAGTGATGAGGTCAAGCAGTTCAGTGTGCCTAAGTTTTTAAACTAGCTTAAATTTTGAGGGAGCAGCCACATTAGAGATGATGAACTGTGATTTCTCTTGATTTTTTTTTTTTTTGGTGTGTTTTATTTAAGTGTTTGGAGAAATACTTTTACATTAAAAACAAATTTTAAAAGCATTGTAAACATAGAAAAGAGGCCAGCTGCCTAATGGATTTCAAGGCAGGACCTGTATGAGACCAGGGAAAGTTCTCCAAAGGAGCACTCTCCACCTGGAAACCTGTTTCTTGCCATTTGTCATTATCAGTGGCGTGAAGGGAGCAAGGGGGGATGGCCAGCCTGGAGCTGCCCTGGGAGCAGGGCTGCAGCCCTGAGTGCAGGGAGGTGTGCACATGGACTGGCATGTGAGGATGGGGAAAAGGGCTTACCAAACTTCCATGACACCAAAACTGCAGCTGCTTTCATCACACAGTGGAGTTTGACCCACACAAGAAACCCCTTGGGGCCTTACAGAGTGAAGCAAAGTCTTGCAAAGTCACCCATGTGTAGGGTAGGCATTGCTGCTGCTGCTGCAACAATATTTTCAAGAAAACTGCTAGTGAATTTTGGATTTCCTCCTTTGACCCCTTGTGGAAACCAGCTTGGGGATAGCTCTTTACTCATTAAGGGAAAAAAATGACCTGGGTTCCTTTTTCCTCTGTGTGTGTGTGTGTGTGAGAATTCCAGCCCTTTGGAGCAGTGCTTGCCTTTCCCCCTGCAGCCTCCTGCCCAGCCCTGGTTGCAAGCCCTGCTTGTGAATACCACGGAGCTGCAGCAGCTTTCCATGTGCTGAAGGAAGAACACACAACTGGGACAAGGCCTTCCTGCATCATTTCAGACGAGTTAATCATCTCTCTAACTTGTTCAGCAAGGCTTAGTGCAAATACCCATTAAAAAAAAAAAAGGAAAGAAAAAGGCAGTTTATAGCACACTGTGCAAGCTTCATTTAAAAAGAAATGTGTTCTTTTTTTCAGACAGGTTTAAAATGGGGTTATAACTAAAATCATCCTGTCTCCCTCCATCTTTGAGTAGCTGAGAAATGAGAATTAGCAATATCTCTTTAAAATTTGGAATAATCAAGCTGTTTGCTTTGGTTGCACAGTACACATCCCATTCAGGTTGTGATGGTGGCTTACCTGGGGGCTGCCTCTCTGCCTCTTTGCTGGTTTGGTTGGATGCACTGACAGAACTGGGGCCATAATCCATCAGGCCGTCAGGAGGGGTGGTGCATCCCCCAGCGCCCGGAGGAGCGTGCTTCTCTGAGCGGGGACTTCGGCAGTTCCTGCAACACAGATAATAAATAATCCCATGTTTGTCAGGTGGCACTAATCTGTGAAAGATCAAACCATCTCTCTGCAATGTGTGTATTGTGTTTGTCTCCAGACATTTCGCATAGCAGAAGAAAAACAAACAGCAGGGAATGGAAATGGAGCAAGTGTGTAAAGTTCAACGTAAAGTGTAAGCACAGAGCAGATATCAAGGCAACAAATTGGGATTTATAGTCCTTTCACTGCCACCAAACACTGGGGGACAGGATTTTTGTGAGGGGGGAACCCTGACATTACTTGCCTTTGGTTCCTGTTGTTGGGATTATTGTTTTAAGCGGTGCTTAATTGTCATGTCTCCACGGCCACATCAAAAGCCAAAAAGATTAGGTTACAGGGAGTGTTTGATGTCAAAATACAAAATAAATAAAAGGGAAGCTGAAAAGGTACTGTATTTTCCATGATGTCTGCTGAGGTTTTTGCTTCAAACATCCCTCTTTTTATTATAATTTTGCAAATGTTGCACTTTTAGTGACAAGATTTTATTTACTTACTTTCAAATGGCACCACTGCTTTCCTGCAACAGCTTGAAAGGGTTAATATCCCCTCTTTGATGGCAAACATGGTATAATTAACGCAAACTTCTTAAGTATCCTGGTGACCTGTAGATGGCCACATGAGAATTTTGTTATTTACTGACTTGCCAAACGTTTATTGCTTATAGAAGGACAAGTGGGAAGCAGGCATTAATTTTGTTGCTGTTATCTGTGATTGCATGTAAAGTTCATAGCTGAGAGTGCCTATATGTCAACTGCAATTAAGCATTTTCCCATTTTTTAAAAAATTCATTTCACTTTGGTGGAGGGGGTTGGGGCAGCAGATTTACAAACTGAGCTCCTGCCCATCCGCAGAGCAGGCGTGACACAGCCAGAAATAGGACAACTTCCCCTTACCTGCAGGCTGCAAAAGAAAACAGCCTGGCACCATGGAGCATTTGATCCTTGGCTTCTCCACAGAGACAGTCAAATCAGGACCAACTGTGGCAGGGCAGAGAGGGACATTTTGTGGTGAGGCATCTCCCCTTGGAAATTAACCTGAAAAACAATCAAAAACTAAGCCAAAAGTGGCTATCAGGTGAGCATGCTCATTTATCACCAACCTGGACTGGATTAGAATGCATGACCTAGAAGTAAAATGCTTTGTTGAGCCCAATTCCCTGGGCCATCTGGTCCTTGCAAGTAAACATTTCTGAGTGAGAGTGACTGTTCTTTAAGCATGGTGATATGAGTGCAAACCAGGCTGCTCCAGGTCTAACAGATCAAACCTCAGCACCAGGGCAGCTGGCTGGTGCCAATTCAGAGACACCATTTGCTTCAACAGCTTTGGGTGCAATTCTCTGTGGTGCCAGCTTTGCAGTCAGCCCTGGTGGCTCAGTCTGATGTGTCCCTGCCAGATCCAGAGCTTGTCCTAAATCCAGGACTCACATTGCACCAAGGTGCTGCTGGGAGGTCTAGGACCCTTGTACCCTCATCAGAGGAAACTCATGGGAGACACTGCAGAACTGCCCTGCATTTGCAGTTAAGAGCTAAGTTGCATTTCTGAGCACTGAAAGCGCATCTGAACAAAATGCAGTTGTGGGGTGAGAGATACAGCAGAGAAAACTTCCAGAAGGTAGAAAGACAATAGTGAATTAACTCCTCCTTCAGGGAAAGGCTTTGACATACCACTGAGGGAGGGAACTGCTACTGTTTGGTCTATAAAAACCTGAATCAGGGAAGTATAACGTTCACCCAGCCTATACAGCAGCACCAGGCAGAAAACAGCCACTTGCCTGCATCCTGCATGCTCCTCTCTCTGTGGTTCTGCACTCTGGGCTGCAGGGAGTTATTTGGGGGAAAGTTGACTCTGGCTCAGGAGGGTCAAGAGCCTGTGTAAATCATTTGGAGTTGAGCCTATCAATGCCAGAGTGTGAATATGGACCCTTGTTTCTTCTGACACCTGCTTCACCAAAGTCTTCCCCAAAGCTTTTCGTTTCCTCTGGCTCTTGATTCAGCTCCTGCCTGCTCTCTCTCAGGCAGAGAGTACGTGGCAGATTTCTTTATCTGGGATATTTTGTTTCTATTTCATTGTAATTTTTTGCCTCTGGTTCTTTAGTTCACTCCCACTTGCCGACATTGGCATTCTGGTGGCTGTTATACTGCTAGGGTGATCTCAAGGCAATCCCTACTGGATTTTCCTGTAAAATACAGATTATTTTACTATCTCCTGTTTTAATTCTGCCCATCCATTATTTTATTTTATTTTTATTTTCTTTTTTGTGGATCCTTGAAGCATTTGGAAGTAAAACCACCCTATGTTGAGAGTTAATCATAGATAGAAGAGAACTAGATGAACAAAAAGGAACAGATCAAAATTGTTCACATAACCTTTGAGCCCACAGGCACTCTGGACTGCACACTATTTTCTTCTTTCCAAGCATTACTCCCAGCAGCACAGGAAATATGGTCTTGATGAAAAAGCACATCTCTGGAGGCAGACCACTGCCTGACTGGTGCCAGGACTCACCCCATTCCCTCACACACTCACTTTCTGATAACAAGCGAAATTACAGCGCTCTGTGCCTCAGTTTACCCTTGCAAAGCAGGCATAAAGAAGACATGACCTGCCCTATCAGTTACACACAAGTGTTAACTTGCTCCAGCCTAGCAAACTTCAAGGCAAGTTCTAACAAATGTCAGAATGTGGTGTGTACTGATAGGCACAGGGAAAGGGCACAGCACTCTCTAGGTTAGAAGCTCCTCCCTGCCTCTGCTGTGGAGCTGCTGCACTGCTCTTACCACCTCCATGCAGCTGTTTGTGGCACAGATGACACATTGGAGACATTAGTCACTGGAGTGCATCCCCGGCTGATTCCAAGGGCTGACCACACAGCCTCACGGAGAGCCCCACGCACACGCAGAGCCGCACGCAGCGCCTCCAGCCCCGGCCCATTGTGAAGCAGCCCTCTCGCCATCTCCCATGCTGTCAGCCCTGACCTTCCTTTCACATGCTCTAATGGTCACTAGAACACTGCAGAGAGAACACGGTCCTGGGATTAAATAACCCTAATTTGTCTCCAGGCCTTTCCCCCTCCTTCCCCTTACCTCAGTCTCCCGCGACTTAACGTTTAAAACAGCTGAAGTTTACAAAAAATCAAAGCTCCCAATAGGCCCAGATTGTCTAAATACGGAAAACAGGAAGTGAGTAACCTTCAACGGGAAATTGTTCATCCGATGGAGGCCAAGACCCAAGGCCCGGCGCTTTGCAGTCCTGCCCAGCCCGGCAGACACAGCGTGTACCGAGTGGACACACGGAGCTTGGCAGGAGGGAGCGGGGGGAAATTTTTCTCGCCGTCATGTTGCGGCTGCCTCAAGAAAGGAGATGGTGTTTGCTCCCCTACAGAACAGTAGAAGGGCAGCTGAAAGGATTATTTTTAAGAAGGCCGGGGATGGGATGGAGAAGCAGACAAAGGTCAGAAGGGAAAACGGAGAAGATACATGGGTCCTAACTAAAACAGTCTCTGGCTTCCTATGAGAGTGAAGATGGCAAGAGAGCACTGCAAATGGCATTGGGCTGCTTCCACAAGGGCGGGGAGAGATTTTGTGTGACAGCCCACTTGGTGATGAAAAGGAGAACACTTCATTTCCTACGCAGTGAGAATAATAATTTCTTTTTGTTGAGTAACTTGCCTGCTTCCCCCCGCCAGGAAAGATCCCAATTATTTTACCGGGTGTTTATCTGAGCTTATATTATTCACTCCTGAATTGCAACCATTAGTGGGGTGGAACACAGCAGCTGTTTAAAAACTCAAAACAATGCCCCTTTTTTTACGGAAGGTCATATTAAGATCCTCTCTAACTGAAGGTGAACTTCTTGCTACGTGCTGCATCCACTGGAATAAAACTTTGCTCAAAATTACACTTCTCCAAGAGTCACCAAAATGCCAAAGAAACTAGGATGCACAAACACACCCAAGCATGCCTGAGTCCTTCCACTCCAACTCTGGACTGGGCTAATGAACCATGGTACCACAAAGGCCCCTGTGTCGTAGGCAACCTTCTTCTGACCTCCTTGAAACCTGCACCTGTGCTCCCATGCCAGTTTTCCTCTGGGCAGCTTATGGGATAAACACTAGAAATGAAGCCTGGTCTCCAATTAGAGAAACAGGCAGAGAAAAAAAAGGTGTGGTTTGGTTTGGAGTTTGGCACCACTGTCAAGGAGATGGGGGTTGCTTGGTCCTGTCCTGATTTCTTGCCCCAGGACTGGATACAGATAAAGGGCAGAGGTGCAGACATGGGACTGACTCCAGAGGACATTCGTGAAGAAAACACATTGGACCTGCCTGACTGGGATGCTGCACCCTTGAAAAGGCAGGGGCTACAGAGAAATGTACAGCAATGGTAACTGTTGTGTCTTTTGAGGAAGACAAGCTAGAGATGAAGCTTCTAGATAGATGTCTTTACTGCAGAATTTCAAATGCTGCACTGAAATTACCCTTTAAAATATTTTTTAAATATTGGGTTCAGGCAGAAATATTTTTCCCTCTTGCTCCTACAGTCTTTTTCTGCAAAGATTTCCCCAGATCTCCTGTGGTTTATATAGGTGAAGAAAATGGAGCTCATGGCATTTGCTCCACAGAGATTTTCTCTCTTGCATAAAGATGAAGTCTAGTTGGTTGTTTTGCTAGCAAACCAGCTGGCTGGGAGAAAGATGCTCTTAATCAAACAGCTTTGCTGTCTCTCTGGAGAGAACTGTGTCTTTTTTCCCATCACAACAGGTTTCTTCTTTGTTCTCTGGTGGGCAGGTGTTGTCCCTGTGGGATGTGAAAAAGGGCAGGCTCTGATCCCATTAAAGATAGCCCCATTGGTAATAGATCAGAGGGGCATCCCTAGGTTGTGGGAGAGTATGCCTGTCTTGCTTCACTGGCTAGGGAATAATAGAGCTGGCTCTCAATGATACTTGCAGGGTTTTTAACAAGAGTCCTGTTCTCCAGAGGGACAATGAAAGGGAAAGGAATCCAGAGAGTGATGGCTGTGTCTAGCATTGCATTGCGAGAAATCACAGCTGGTCCTGCAAGTGATGGGAACGGGGATGATGCCTCTACCCAGGAAAGATGCAAAGAAATGCTCCCCCACTGCATTATCTTCTTGCTTTACTCTCTTTCTCCATTAATTCCACAGCAAACTGACTTTGAGGGATATGAAAGTGAATTTTGTTCCAGTGGAAGGCAAGACATGGATAATCCTGAGATATCAACACTGCTGTAACCCCTGGTCTCAGCCACTCCTTGGACCTTCCATCTTGAGGGTTACAGCAGCTCTGATCTCACCTCCTGGAAAGAAAGATTGGGTGTGCGGGCTGAAGGAGGTCAGGGAGTTCCAACCACATCCCTGGTCTGGATGAGGTGGTCACAGAATCAGGGCTGTGGCTTGCCCAGTGGAGCCTGTCTACTTGCAGTCCAGATGTGGAGTAGCTGTTTTTCTGCTGACCTTGTGCTCAGAAGAAGTGAGGTAGCAGCAAGGATCTCCAGTGCATTTTCTTCTTCTGTGCTTTCTAGAGTCCTCCAGGAGGAAAGTCCACTGTGCCCAGCAGCTACAGACTCCTGAGATTTAGAACAGGCTCCACACCTGCTTAACTCAGACCCCTACAATCTATGCCTGCTTAGTTAAGGCACGATTTTTCTACATCATGTAGTGTTGTGGCAATCCATGAATCTGTGTTAGTGCAGGCCTTGAACATGGTCACATGCCAAGAATGGAAACTTGCAGCTGAATACATGCAGCAGGCAAAATATGCAGCTCTGACTGCAAACCATACCATAGGCACATTCCCAAAGTATGGGCCCAGAGGCTTGTCCAGATGAAGCAACAGCTCTTATAGACAATGTGTTCAAGCACAGGCTTCGTGAATTTCCTTTCTTTGTGAAGATCCCTGTTGGCAGAGTCATTCCAGCTCCAGCAAAGCTGTTCAGGAAGAACACACACCTGCCCAGCAAAGGTCCTGCATCACAGAGTTAACCCTGAGCTCCTGACTCGACTCCCAGGAAAGCAGCCACCTTGGGCAGTGTCACTGGGGTCAGCTTGGAACACTGCCTTCATAGGAGCCTGCACAACTTGGAACTCTACAGCAACTGCACTCAGTGGTGTCAGGACAAGAACAGAGGTGGTACTGGAATGTTAGACAGCTAGCTCTTTAACATTGTCTTTTTACTTTTTTTTCCTATGTTCTTCTTTAGTGTCACTTGGAAATCACACTCATTTTGCCCTATGCATTCTGCACCATTTGGACATCTTTTCATCTGCACCCTCATCCTTGTTATCTCTTTCTGATGGTTCACTCCCCCATTTACATCTTTGCTGAATTTACCTGTGTGGCTTGCAAACCACCTAGAATCCTTTAAATCTAGGCACTAGGTCCTGGGAAGACTGGTCATTCTCCTTGTGAAGCCACCAGCTCAGGCCACTGCACTTGATCCAGCCCTGCCTGAAATCACCACCCCTGCTCAGCATTCCTACATCCTGCCTTCACTTTTACTTCGATGCTGAGCAGCACAGCTCTCTTTCCATGTGTATGTGTGTATGTATTTATACACATGCTTCCCACCACAGAAAGAGACCGATTTTGCAAGGTTTAATATGCTCCCAGTTCTGCTGTGGACTCTTCCTCTTTTGTTGCAGCTGTGGTTTTAGGGCAGGCTTTGTGGGTTTCAGAGAGTCCTTGGATGTCTTAGGAAATGTTCTGCAGAAGTGCGCTTTCTCTCCATGCATTTTGCACTCCAGCCACCAGGTCCTGAAATCTCAGTGCACAGGATTTCCCCTATTTAGATGAACACCAAATCTACTTGACTTTCAGGCATTGTTTCTGATTGATACCACTCATTTATGCCTCCAGGGTCAGGCAAAGAAACAGAAGAGGCAGCTGGACTCCCTCCTGCATCAGCCCTAGCTCTAACTGAGTCACAGCACAGCATCAGGATGCTCTGAACGGGCAAAGAACCTCCACCTCCTCACAGCCACAGCAGCCCTGGGGTGGCTGGTGTGAGCTCCTTTGCCACAGCTCTGGGGAGAATAAGATCTCACCCATCACCACTAATGTCTGTCCCTGGCACAGGAGAAGCAGTACAGTCTACCTCTTAAAAAATAAGGAAAAGCCTGCAAGTGCCAAATGACCGAAACAGAAACACCCTCTGCCTCTCCTGTGTTTGTCCTAGTTACTCATGAGGGAAAAGGAACCCTGTCTTAGAAAAGCTGAGGATTAGCCCAACACACCTGGGTACCACCTGCTGCTTTAGTGTCTCCAGCTCACAGTTTTGTAACAAGCTGGGCGCTTGACAACAATATCCCTTTGAAATGGCAGGTATAGAGCTGAAGGTTTGGAAAAGCATTGCTCCAGCACAAGGTAATTGTCAATATGCATGAAGACAAGCTTCCTGAGGCTGGCTGGGGGCAAGAAGGGGGCAGCTCAGGTGGAAAAAAATGCTTAAAACACAGCACAAGGCATGCCTGTGCTCCAAACCAGCTACCCAGCAACTTGGCCCTCTGGAGTTAGAGCAGCCTTGAGGTGGCTCTGATAGGCAAAGCACACAAATGCTGTGATAAGAAAACACCCCCCAAAGCAACAGAATGTCTCACAAGGCTTAAAAGCACGGTTGTTCAGCCTTGCCTATTTGTATGGGAAGCAGGAGCTGCAGATCCTGAACGTGGAGCTGGCAGGCAGCATAGGAAAGGAGAAGGAGGCGAGATATGTGGCTGAGGAATTTGCAGCCTTCAATTTCCCTCTCTCCCACCTCCTCCTCTCGCAGGAAATGAAAGAAGCCTCTTTTGTGGAAGGAGGCTGGTAGGTGTGCATGCGTGAGTGTGTGTTTGG